TCTGCGACGGTACAGTGGAGGCCAGTCCACAAGAAGCCTTCCACAAGAAACCAAATTCTGAGACCCCAGGACGTCAATTGATTTTGGGAACGTCACGCCCTCCACAGCAAAACCATCGAAACCCAAGAAACCTAGGGCACCCTGGAGGCGAGCAAGGTGCTTCTTGGCATGGGCCCCCGCTGCATTTCTGGTTCTCTCCCCGGCCTGCTCTGAAGCAGCTCGCCCGGGGCACTGTTTCTGCATGGGCTGGTAGGGATGCGGCACATGTCAAGAACCTGTGCAATCGAGACTGCACGTACGTCAGGCTGGGGCCATCTCCGGGGTGGACAGAACCTCCTTTAGCAAAGCGTGGTTCAGTGAAAACGACCTCGGGCCCAAACCTAGCGGGCGCAAGCCTGGAAAAAATGACAGCCGCGGCGCCCTCTCGAGAACCGAAAACGGACAATTCACAAATCAACGTTTCAGGGTGCGGGTGCTGTCCACCCCCGACCATCTTTGCAAGCCAAAGCAGGGCAACGGGTGTGGCTGGTTCAGCAGTTTAGCCAGTGCAACCAGGTGGCGTAGAATCTGATTCTGGTGTTCAATACGTCAAGCAATCACTATAGGCCAGACATTGGTGCGAAGAATACGCAACCTCGATACTTCACGATGAATCGTGAAACGCGCGCGAAGAATACGCAACCTCGACACTTCACGATGAATCGTGAAACGCAGGCTCATGTCTCCGACAGCGAGCAACACTTTCCTAGAAATCGAACTTGGAACCTGATCGAGCGGAAACGACAAAACAGATAGCAGGAAAGCGAATACCATTATTTACTACATGTGGTTCCGAACAACTCTGGCTGGTAGTCAGCTGCCTCTGATGCGGGCACTGGCTGCACAAGAGATCAATTCTGAGAAAGCGCAAGCAAATAATGAATCAACCCTGCCGACTTTGCCGAAAACGACAACGCCCTTACGAACAACACCGGCTGCTCGCCTTCTGGCATGGGGGCCTCGGTCGGACGTCGCCCTGCTTCAGGAAATCACCATAGCTCCGTTCCTGATCAAAGTCGCTGAATCCCAGGATTGCCTCTCTAGGCTGTCAGTGCAGTCTGAAGGCTTCAGAGATCACTTACGAGGAGGGCCATTTTTCTTTTCTCCAGCGCATCTTTTGGAAAAAGGGAGGGGGACAATAAGGATGGCGTGGACAACCAATGGTCATCGAATCGCATGTATCCTCTCGGTGAGATGCTGCCGAACGTGACTGCCAAAGCGCACCCCGCCGAACAGAAGCGGAGCTCGACTGCGAGTTTCCGCGCCCACACGCCGATACCTCCACCAGATCAGGAGGATTTCTGGCTGTGTGGGGGTGGGCTGGCTCGCATACTTCGGCATGCGTCTCCCTCCTGACATGAAAGCGCCTCCCGAGCCCACGCAGGGTGCGCACTTGCTGGGTCAGCCTACGTCTGTATGCGATTGACAAACTTTGTATATATCAGAGGGGGCCGATGATCATTCACTGTCCTGCGTGGCTGGAGTGGGATTCCGCGATGCGGATTGTTGTTGTCGTTGTTGTTGTTGTTGTTGTTGTTGCTGTTTATTGTGGTTGTGTTTGGATATTGAATACTCGTTTTCTAGAGAATAATTATTGATCTCCGGAAGCGGTTCCGGGCGCTCTCGCCTCGACGACGGCTACATGTTCTCTCAAAACGAGACTCCCCCTCGAGCGTTGGCTTGACCCTAAAAGTGGGCCCGTGGAGGCCCAGCGACGACAACAACGGCCCCCGCTCGATACTTCCTCACAGTTTACCTCGAGACACCTTGGCCAGAGAGGCCCCCGAACTCAGGAACGGCGCTCTCGCTCGCGACTTCCTCGCGATTCAATCAAGTTGGCGGGGGCCCAGCCACGACGACAAGGGCTCCTGCTCGATACTTCCTCACGATTTACTCCGAGAGCCCCTGGCCAGGAAGGCCCCAGAACTCAGGAACGGCACTCTCGCTCGAGACTTTCTGCTGACTCAATCAAATTTGTGGAGGCCCAAATGCGACGGCAAGGGCTCTCGTTCGATACTTCCTGGAGATGTATTCGCAGAGGCCATTGCCAGTGGCCCCCGAACTCAAGAGTGGTGCTCTCGCTCGAGAAGCCCTCGTCATTCAGTCAATTTGGTGTGGGCCAAGCCGTAGTTACTTCCTCAAGCTGTAGTCCGAGAGCCCGTGGCCCGAGACTGCAATTCAGTAGCGACGCCAGAGGCCCACCTGCGACGACATGGGCTCCCGCTCGACACCCCCTGTATAGGGAGCCCACAAAAGACGTACGCGCCTAGCTATGTACATGAAGACGGCCCTTCGATCCGCAACACTGGCCGCGTGATACGAACATTCGGGCAACGCGTACTCTCGAAACCAGCGTGGATTCATGTACGTGTACGTCCTTATTTCGCTCCTGACTTTAGTACTCCTACACGACCTGGCCAGAGAGGCCCCCAAACCACAAAGGCCCCAGCACGCTGCTCATTGAGGCCTTCGGACACAGCCCGCAAAAGCTCCAAGCGCGCCCACAAGGCACCAACACGCTGCCCACACATGCCTTCGGACACTGCCCGCAGAGGTCCCGGCGCACTGTCCACTGAGGCCCCCGGCACACAACTCACTGAGGCCCACAGTAAGCCCACAGGGACCGCAGCATGCTTCCCGTAGGCCCTCCGGCACATCCCATATAGACGCCAAGCGCGCCCACAGAGGCTCCCGACGCAGCCCACAAAAGCCCAAGCCCCCGCCCCAAACGCGCCCATGGAGGCCCCAGCGCGCTGCCCACTGAGGCCCCCCGTTCCGCAGAGGCCCCACGCGCGCCCACAGAGGCCCCAAGCGCGCCCACAGAGGCTCCCGACGCAGCCCACAGAGATCCCAGCCCGCAGAGGCCCCGAGCGCGCCGAGAGAAGCGCCCGCCCTCTGCCCACTGAGGCGCCGACATCGACCACAGAGGCCCCGAACGTGCCCACGGAGGCACCCGCGCGCTGCCCACTGAGGCCCCGACTTCCTACAGAGGCCCCAAGCGCCTCCACAGCGGCCCTTGCCTTATACAGAGGCACCGAGCGCGCCAAGGCCCCCGCGTGCTGCCCACTGAGGCCCTCCGCCCAACCCACAAAGGCCCCAAACGCGCCCACAGAGGCCCCAAGCGCGCCCACAGAGGCCCCAGCGCGCTGCCCACTGAGGCCCCAGCCCACGGCGGCCCTAAGCGTGCCCACGGAAACTCCAGCGCGCTGCCCACTGAGGCCCCCCGACGCAGCCCACAAAGGCTCCAAACGCGCCCACCGAGGCCCCAGCCCACAGAGTCGTCAAGCGAGCCCACGCAGGCCCTCGCGCGCTGCCCACCGAGGCCCCCGCGCGCTGCCCACTGAGGCCCCCGACGCAGCCCACAGAGGCGCCAGACCTCAGACGCCCCAGGCGCGCCCACGAAGGTCCAAGCGCGCAGCCCACGGAGGCCCCCCAACACGGCCCGCAAAGGCCGCAAGGGCGCCCACTTCAGCCCTCAGAGGCCCTGCGCCCACAAAAGCACCCGCGCGCTGCCCACTGAACTGTGGCCCCCGTCGCCCCCCGCGCGCCCACGGAGGCCCCAGATCGCAGAGGCCCCAAGCGCGCCCACAGGCCCCCGCGCGCTGTCCACTGCGGCACCGATCGCGCCCGCAAAAGGCCCCCGCGCGCTGCCCACTGAAGCCCCCAGGCACAACCCGCAGAGGACCGAAGGGCGCCCACAGAGGCCCCAGCCCGCAGAGGCCCCGAGCGCGCCCACGGAGGCCCTTTGCGCTGCCCACTGAGGCCCCCGACGCAGCCCACACAGGCCCCAGCCCACAGAGGATCCAAGCGCGCCCGAACAGGCCCAAATCGCGACCACAGAGGCCCCCGCGCGCTGTCCACTGAGGCCCTCCGACACAGCCCACAGAGGCCCCAGGTGCGCCCAGAGGGGCCCCAGCTCGCAGAGGCCCCAAGCGCGCCCACGGAGGCCTCGACGCGCTGCCCACCGAGGCCCCCGACGCAGCCCACAGAGGCCCCAAGCGCGCCCGCAGAGGCCCCAGCTGGCAGAGGCCCTAGGAACGGCGCTCTCGCATGAGACCCCTTTGCAATTCAATCAAGTTCGCGGGTGCCCAGCCGCGACGACAAGGCTCCCACTCGATATTTCTTCGCGATTTACTCCGGGAGGCCCTGGCCAGACAAGTTCCCGAATTCAGGAACAGCGCTCTCGCTGGCAACTCAGTCAATTTAGTGGGGGCGCAGCCGCGATGACAAAGGCTCCCGCTCGATGATTCCTCGCGATTTGCTCCAAGAGGCCCTTTCTCGTGGTCCATCCTTCTCTCCCCCCGTCCGTCTCCCCTTCCCCTGTATTAGGGGCCGCGCTACATTTGCGTGGCAACTAGGAGAGATATACCCCCGAAGGGGTGAAGTCGAAGATAAAGAGAACGGGCTCAATGACCGAACCGAACCGGCCGAACCGAACCGGGCCGAACCGAACTGGTACGAACCGCACGTTTCGTCAACGGGAACCGAATCGAACCGGAACCGAACGAGACCCAATTTCGAACCGAACCTAATCGAAACGGATTCGATGTCGAACCGACCCGGGCCGAACCTGACGGAACCGCAACGAAACGGGCGTCTCCGTCGTCTTGAATTTGGCGACGTGAGGGAGGAGGAGGAGGGGGAGGAGGAAAAGGAGGAGGAGGAAGAGGCGGAGGAGGAAGAGGAGGAGGAGGAGGAGGAGGAAGAGAAAGGGGGAGGAGGAGGTAGAAGAGGAGGGGGAAGAGAGGCAGGAGGAGGAGAGAAAGGAAGAGGAGGGGGAGGAGTAGGGAGGAGTAGGGAGGAGGAGGAGGAGGAGGAGGAGGGGAGGAGGAGGAGAGGGAGGAGGGAGAGGAGGAGGAGGAGGAGGAGGCCATATTTTTGGCCATTTTTCCGTTCGGCCCCCTGGCGCCCTGCCCGCGGGCTAAACCAGGTGCCGTCGAAGCGCGGTCACGCCGCGCCACCGTCGCCGAAGGGCGCCGCGCGCGCCTGCGCCCAGCGCGCCGCGGCGGCGGGCGAAGCGAAGCCGTGGAGCGCGGCCGCCTGCCAGGCATCCGCCACGGCTGGCCGCAGCCCCCAGCGCGGCCGCCGCCCAGCCCCAGCGGGGGCCCCAGCGCCGCCTGCCTCGCCAGCGCCTCCTCGGAGCACCGCCGCGAGCCGCGCCTGCTCCTCGGCCGTGGGCGCCTGCGGGGCGAGGGGCCGCACCTTGCTCTTCGGCTCCTGGAGCCGCATCAGGAGCCGCCTCGCCTCTGCCGCCCTCTCGCCGGGGGCAGGTCGCCCCTTGCAGCTGCCCAGCAGGCCAGTCCCTGCAGGAGGGGACCTCTTCCAGAAGCGGCAGCCGCACTTCAGGCACCAAGCCATGGCCCCGTCGCCGTTCTCCAAGCGAGAGACGACGATGCAGTGCCCTCGCACCTCCCGCGCCACGCCTGCTCCTGCCCCGGCTGCCTGCAGCTCGGGGGCGGCTGCCGCAGCGCCCTCGAGCTCGACGGCGGCGGCCTCGGCGGCGGCGTCGGGTGGCTGGCCGAGCTCCGCGCCAGCAGCAGCCCCAGCACCAGCAGCAGGAGCCTGGCCATGCACGAGCTCGGCCTCGAGCGCCGCCGCCGCCACCTCCTCGTCGGCCTGCTCCGCCGCGTCCAGCGCCTCCTGCGGGATGTCGTAGACGAGGTCGGCCGTGCCTACCACCCCGTCGGAGTCCAGCTCCGCGCGGTCCACCACGGTGGCGGCCAGCTCGCCGATCCAGCGCCCGAGCTCCTCCGCACGCCAGGCGCGCGCCTGGGGGAACCAGACCAGCTCCTCGTCGATCGGCCACAGGGCGGCGCCCCTCTTGGCCCACAGGTCGGCTGCCCTGTCGCCCTTGATCATGAGCTCCTCCTCCCAGCTGGACGCCGCGGCGAGCGCCTTGTGCGCCTTGACCTTGCGCACTGTGGCCGTCGGGCCAGGCCCCGCCCACCGCTCCTGCCACAGGTGGCGGCGCGCCTGCAGCGGCGCGAGGGCCTTGCCCCGCGAAAGCGCCAGGCCGACCGTGCCAGCACAGTCGCAGAAGACCTCGAGGCCCGCGCCGTCGTCCGACGCCTGCCAGTACTGGGCCAGCATGTGGAACGCGTAGTCCTCGCCGTCCCTGGCCTCCTGCTCGGGTCCGTACCTCCACGGAGCGATGCCGTGCATCCCGCCGATGACTTCCCCGCCGAGGCCGATCTGCACCACGGCCCAGCCAGCGCGGCGTGCCCCTCGCAGCGCGGGGAACCTGGCGCTGCCATCCACGAAGACCCTGCCCGCGAACTTCGAGCCTGGCGGCGCGCCGAACCAGCGCGGGGCCGCGAGCGCAGCGTCTGCCGCCGCGGGGGGGGCAAGGGCAAGGCCGGGGCAGACCGCACGCGCGAAGAGCTCCGCAGCGGCATCCCCGCGCTGCGCCACCAGCCTTGCCCCTTCCAGCAGCTCGGGCGAGCGCGCCTCCCTCCGCAGCGGCTGCCGGGCGTCGCACTCGAAGGCCCTGTGCCGCAGCGTGCCTCTGCCTCCACACAGGCAGCAGCGGCCGTCGAGCGCCTTGTCCTCCTTCCAGAGCCGCTCCTGCGGCCAGTGGGGGCCGCCGAGGACCGCCACGAGCGCGCGCCTGTGACGGGCCTGCCAGAGCGGCGGCGGCCGCGCGGGCCCCTGGCGGCCTGAGCCAGGGGCGGCCTCAGCGGAGGCCTGCTCCTCGAGGCGGCTGTTCACGCGGAGGAGGCGCTCCAGCCCCTTCCAGTTCACAGGCCATGCCCGGGCGCCAGGCCCGCGCAACCGCTGCAGCGCGAGCACATCCGAGGCCAGCAGCGCCGACGCGCGCACCACCTGCACCAGCATGCCTGGCGAGAAGAACTCCAGCGAGAAGACCCGCGCCTGCCAATCAATGACGGCGTTGAAGGCCACCATCTCGCAACCGACCCGCCTCAGAGCCATTGCACACGCCTGTGCAGGGTCACGGCACTGCCCCCGGGGGCGGCGCAGCTCCAGCAGGCCTTGCGCCCCGCGCCAGCACTCCCGCACCACCGCGGCACTGGGCAGGCCCGTCTCCAGCGTCATGCCCCAGGAGCGTGCCACCTCCACCGCGTGCATCACGAAGGGGCCTCGGTGGGCGGCGCCTTGCTGGGCCCGCAGCCGCAGGCCAACGCTGGCGCCCATGGGCAGCTTGCCCTCCGCGCGCATGGCGGCGACCCGCAGGCCGTGCAGCTTCCCGCAGGCGAGGCCCGTCACGGCGGAACCCCAGACAGCGGTGGCAGCGGGGCTCCCCCTCTGGATGTGGCCCACCCGCGCACCAGCGCCGCGCAGCAGGCGCGCCCGCGCACTGACCGCCGCCGCGCGGCCAAGCCGCGCGTCCTGCTCGCCCGCGCGCCTCCAGCGCCCGTCGGTAGCGTCACCGCCCAGGCAGCGGGCTCCTGCCCAGCGGGCCAGCGGCCCGTGCGCCCAGAGGAGGAGGAGGAGGAGGGAGGAGGAGGAGGGAGGAGGAGGAGGAGGAGGAGGGAGGAGGAGGATGAGGAGGAGGAGGAGGAGGGGGCTTGGCTTGGCTTGGGTTGGCCCAGCAGGCGGTGCGACAGAACTAGACCCCCAAATTGGACTCCTCCTCAAAGTCGGGGTCCTCGGAGGCTTCAGAGGTTCGCTGGATGGCCTGCTGCCCCAGCTCGAGCACCTGCAGACGGTCCTCGGCCGAGGAGGAGGAGGGGGGGGAAGAGGAGGTGGAGGTGGAGGTGGAGGTGGAGGAGGAGGAGGAGGAATACGAGGTGAAGGAGGAGGAAGAGGCGAGGGGGAGGAGGAGGAGGAGGAGGAGGAGGAGGAGGGCAGGGAGGAGGAGGAGGAGGAGGAGGAAGAAGAGGAGGGCAGGGGGAGGGGCAGGAGGAGGGGGAGGAGGAGAAGGAGGAGGAGGAAGAGAAGGGGAGGAGAAGGAACATGAGGAGGATGAGGATGATGACGATGACGATGAGGAGGAAGAGGAGGAGGAGGACGAGGATAATGATGAGAAGGATGAGGCAAGGAAGAGGAGGAGGAGGAGGAGGAGGAGGAGGAGGAGGAGGAGGAGGAGGAAGATGAGGATTTCACCTGGACCTTTTCCTAGCCTGGTCTCAGGCTAGGACCCAAGCGGTGACCTCATGCGGTGGCTGACTTCGGCAGCAACCCATGGGCCCCGACAAAGACGAGCTAGTTCGAGCCACATCTGGGCTCATAGCTCACGCGAGCAGCTTTGCAGCGAGGACCCTCCGCACCATCCTCACAGCTCGTCTCGCGGCCCCTCGCCCCACTCTCGTTGGAGGGAGCCGAGGGAAAAGAATTCACTGCCAGCTGCACTGACTCGTCACGATTGGCGGCGTGTCGAGCAAACTTGTTGGGCCGAGCCTCGGCGCCAGAATCGGACGCGGAGCGGATCCTCGACCCCTGGTCTGCAGGGGTCGAGTGGCACAAAACACTACATTGATACGACCCTACGTGGGAAGGCGCTCTGAGACCGTGGATTTCGATACCATCCGAATCAAAAATTGGGGACGGGCGTTGAAAATTCCCTTGGGCACTCACCGTGAGAGCGTGAGGACCCTCCGCACCATCCCCACAGCACAGCTCGCGACCCCTAGCCCCACTCTCGTTGGAGGGAGCCGATGGAAGAGAATAACCAGCCTGCTGCACTGACTCGGCACAATAGGCGGCGTGTCGAGCCAACTTGTAGGGCCGAGCTTCACCGCCAGGAACAGACGAAGGGCGGATCCTCGACCCCTGGTCTGCAGGGGTCGAGTGGAACAACTGGGGAGCGGCAGCAGCTACCACGACCTGCGCGACAGACGACTGGTCGACGACCTCCTCACGCTGCTGCCCATCTCCCGCGAACGGCAAAACGGTGCCATCCTGCATAAGACTGGTGCGGGCGAAACTGCGCGGGCCACTTGGGCCACTCGCTAAGATTGCTGCAGCAGCAGTGTCGACGGACGAAGGCCCAACGACAGTGTTAATCTGCTGCAGCTCCTGGCTCGCAGGTTGCACGGACGACGACTCAACGACAATTTCTTCCTGCGAGCCAGGGTGTGCATTCACAACCTCTGGTGAGATTTCCACGGTCACACCAGGAAGTCGTGGGTGCCGACCCTTACATATTCTGTACTTCCATCTCTCAGCATTGTTCCTGGTTGGGCGCCCGCACTTCTTACCCAGGAGAGCCAGAGGACCCAGGGTCGAGACAGCCTTACAACTGACACAAACGAACAACGGCGAGTCATCGCTGCACTGGAATGATAAAAGCCTGTGTCCGAGAGCCGAGACCTGCCATAAAATGTCGGGAATAACGCCAGAACAACCCTCACATGCAGGCTTGCCTGAACTACCGAAAATTAACGGAGTGGGATGCTTCGTGCGCAAGCAAACACCACAACGCCAATATGAGCGGCACCACTCCCACACATGCTCAAACTCCGTGCCAGGTTTCACTTTGATTTCCTTAGGGGGCCTGGCCAGCTCAACCCCGCTGAGGTCGAGACGAGGCCACAGCGGCAAAATCCGAGCGGCCAGGCGGCAAACTGCCTTCGCAACGCTGATTTTGTGCGCAAGGTCGGTCAGTTGGGCGTCCGTGGGCCTGGGATGCGTGGCGAGAGCAGCCTTGGCAGCCTCATCAGCGGCATCATTACCAATTTTTGAAAACCGGTCCCTGTCGGACAGGTCATCCGAGTCCACAACATGGGCCTTGACTTTGTGGAGGGTTCCCGTCCACCACGAAGAAAGGCTAGAAAACATGAGCCCCGAATAAGGCCTCTTATGGGACAACTTAGTGGCGGGGGGCTCACCGTGGGCACGAACAACGTTGAGGCAGTCGGAGTACCCAGTAGAGGGGGCAACAAGGCACTGGGAGGAAGCTTCGAGGGCCCCGTGCTCCCCAGCCTGGCTGGTCTGTGGGGAGGGGGGCCCACATAGGCCCAAACGCACTAAACAATTTAGAACCGTCGTCTGCGTGGGCTGTAAAACCCCAGCTTGTTCTGGATAGCTCTTTAATAATGTGTCTCTGACAACTGCCGCCCATGAATATATGACCCGAGACCGCCGTGCCGACCCTATCAGGCTCTCCGCCCCACCTGGTCTGGGTACCTCCTTCACCACGAGGGCGGGGAACCGAGTCACCTGGGTGCGGGAACAGACCCTTAGTATAGAGGAGGAGGGTCGCAGGATCAGCAAGATCGCACGACCGAGCATCTTGCTGGATCCGATCTTTCACAAGGTCGTCGCGATCTTCCTGAACGTTGGGGCAGAACCACAGGCGGTGCATGAGGCTGTCAGAAGCAGCCAAGCACAAAGGGCAGAGATCGGAGTCGAGCTGGTGGCCCAGGGCGATCGCACGGTCCCTGGTCCAGGTCGCCCCACAGCTAAGCCCGCGGATACTGCCCTTCTCGAGGGCCGTGAATTTGCTAGAG